TTTTGTACATTTTTGTAATTATGGACTATTACCAGGAGTTACATTGGTACTATATAATAATATTTCTTTTTACATTGAAGCTATATGGCCTGCAGTAATCTTTCCCATTTTTCCATTCCTTGTTAAAATTAGCGAGATGCATTTTGAGTATTGTAAACATCTTTGATCAAGATTTTCGAAGCTAAAACTGATAGACCAGTTTGCAGATACCTAGCCGTATACATATATAGTTTTAGGTTAAGAAGTAATAAATGATCAACATTGTGTTTTTCTGTCATAGAAACCAAAGATAAAAACAATCTTTATTGAAAGCAAATGGAATTAATAACACATCTAGCACTGATTCAAAGTTGAACTTCTTTACATTCCCATAACTATTGTTTCAGTGTCAGGTTTTCAAATGAAAGTATCACAGTATTGTGAAGGATTGGATATTAGCATTAGATATACAAATTACACACCAAATGATAACATCGTTGTCAACCCTAGTATTCAGGATTGAATGTACATTATATAATGATCATTAGTTATACAAATTACATCGTTATCAACCCTCTTGCACCAGCTTCGCATTCAATGAGGGTGTTTTCAATTAGATATTAAATTTTAGTATATAACAATATGAAACGTAACTATATAAATCAAAACGTCCTCTAGTTATCGTTGCTGTGTCATTAATCAATACTTTGCACATGTTGTTCCAGTACACTCAGCTGTAAATATGTGTATCAGTATATGTGATAGTAAATAATCATGTAGCATGCTGCGTTCTTTCAAGAGAAACAAGTATCATCAGTCGTCCAAGTTCCAGCTTTATTCACCAACTGGATTGTTTTATTACACTTAATTAGCGGTAAAATGGCCTGTTGTATGGACACTGATGTCATGTGACCTTATTTGTTGTATGGACACTGATGTCATGTGACTTAGTTGTTGTATGGACATTGCTGTCATGTGACCTTTGTTGTTTTTTAGGACACTGATGTCATGTGACCTTAGTTGTTAAGTCGACACTGATGTCATGTGACCTTAGTTCTTGTTAGGACACTGATATCATGTGACCTTAGTTGTTGTATGGACACTGATGGCATGTGACCTTATTTGTTGTTAGGACACTGATGTCATAAGACTTAAGTTGTTGTATGGACACTGATGTCATGTGACCTTAGTTATTGTTAGGACACTGATGTCATGTGACCTTAGTTGTTGTATGGCCACTGATGTCATGTGACCTTAGTTGCTGTAAGGATGCTGATGTCATGTGACCTTAGTTTTTGAATGGAATCTGATGTCATGTGACCTTAGTTGTTGTATGGACACTGATATCATGTGACCTTAGTTGTTGTTAGGACACTGATGCCATGTCACCTAAATTGTTGTATGGACACTGATGTTATGTGACCTTAGTTCTTGTTAGGACACTGATATCATGTGACCTTAGTTGTTGTATGGACACTGATGGCATGTGACCTTATTTGTTGTTAGGACACTGATGTCATATGACTTAAGTTGTTGTATGGACACTGATATCATGTCACCTGAATTGTTGTATGGACACTGATGTCATGTGACCTTAGTTGTTGTATGGACACCGATGTTATGTGACGTTAGTTGTTGTATGGACACTGATATCATGTGACCTTAGTTGTTGTTAGGACACTGATGCCATGTGACCTTAGTTATTGTTAGGACACTGATATCATGTGACCTTAGTTGTTGTTAGGACACTGATGCCATGTGACCTTAGTTATTGTTAGGACACTGATATCATGTGACCTTAGTTGTTGTATGGACACTGATGGCATGTGACCTTATTTGTTGTTAGGACACTGATGTCATATGACTTAAGTTGTTGTATGGACACTGATGTCATGTGACCTTAGTTATTTTTAGGACACTGATGTCATGTCACCTTAATTGTTGTATGAAAACTGATATCATGTCACCTTAGTTGTTGTTTGGACACTGATATCATGTGACCTTAGTTGCTGTAAGGATGCTGATGTCATGTGACCTTAGTTTTTGAATGGAATCTGATGTCATGTGACCTTAGTTGTTGTATGGACACTGATATCATGTGACCTTAATTGTTGTATGGACACTGATGTCATGTGACCTTAGTTATTTTTAGGACACTGATGTCATGTCACCTTAATTGTTGTATGAAAACTGATATCATGTCACCTTAGTTGTTGTTTGGACACTGATATAATGTGACCTTAGTTGCTGTAAGGATGCTGATGTCATGTGACCTTAGTTTTTGAATGGAATCTGATGTCATGTGACCTTAGTTGTTGTATGGACACTGATGTCATCTGACCTTAGTTATTGTGTTGACACTGATGTCATGTGACCTTAGTTATTGTTAGGACATTGATGTCATGTCACCTTAATTGTTATATGGACACTGGTATCATGTGACCTTAGTTGTGTATGGACACTAATGTCATGTGACCTAAGTTGTTGTGTTTACACTGATGTCATGTGACCTTAGTTACTGTGTTGATACTGATGTCATGTGACCTAAGTTGGTTTATGGACACTGATGTCATGTGACCTTATTTAGTTATTGTGTTGACACTGATGTCAGGTGACCTGAGTTGTTGTGTTGACACTGATGTCATGTGACCTTAGTTGTTGTATGGACACCGATGTCATGTTACCTTAGTTGTTGTGTTTAGATTGATGTCATGTGACCTTAGTTATTTTTTGGACACTGGTGTCATGTGACCTTAGTTATTTTACAGTCCCTGCGTCCACAGAGATGTGAGATGCTTAAATCATTTTTCGGGTGCTGTTGGAATGAGGGGTGGCATTTACATTGTCTATTTCGAGAGATAATGTTAACCACTAAAACATCTAATATTACTCTTTACACAGCGTGATAGGTCCAAACAACCCAATTGTAGCCGGGTCCCTGTGTCTGAAACAACAAGTAGTGACCTCATGGTCTTTACCTTTGAAATAACAATAGGCGCAGGTAACAAGGGTTATCCCACGATTGATCAATGATAAAGGTAAGGTCAGGTAAAAGAAAAGACCAGATTATAGTTGAAATAAAGTTAAGGATAGTGAAATAAATACACTATTCAAAATGACGATCAAGAGATGAAGAGACAGCACTCGGTAAAGCGTATCTCGGAGCACACAATAACTGTTTTGTAATTGTTTTCTTATGTGTATGGGAACACTCAAATCTGAACATGTAGCTTGATATGAATTATTTTGACAGACTCTTAATATTTACTTTGTAGATNCTCGGAGCACACAATAACTGTTTTGTAATTGTTTTCTTATGTGTATGAGAACACTCAAATCTGAACATGTAGCTTGAGATACATTA